GACGTGCAAAAAAGCCAGCCTCTTGAGGAAAGGGAAACAACTTCAGTTCAAGAGCACTTTTCTGAAGATTGTTCGAAAACTATTTTGTGGCCAACCAAGGAAAAAGTTGTAATGGCTGAGCATCAGCTACCAATTCAGTGGAACTCGATTGATTCCATTCAGTTTCTCAAATCTTTGACGAACTGGTTTTCCGAATTTTGCCGGATTTGGCTTTGGAAAAGCAACTACGGTTCTCTGTCGGCCGAGTACTCCCTTTCGCCTCTTACTGGTTTGCCAAAATCACATATTCGAAATACTGGTTGCTCTTGGTTTCTCGACCCTCGACTTCTCCAACCGTTCTAGTGAATTCTCCTTTCACCCTCTTTCCTCAGTTTTCCTTTCACTGCTGCTTCAGCGCGGACGCGGATCTATAAGCGGACGTGACAAACTTCTATTTCGGGCCATGCTTTAGCCCCGGCGTCGATCCCGCCTCTCACTTTAGGCCTCACGAGATTGTCGATGACTGTGTTTCAAAACAAGGCAAGGAGCCGAGATCACGATATTCCGATAGCGACAGGCACCAGCTACCCACGACCAGAAGAGGTAGCTAAAAATATTCATCGAGTGTGAAGTATACAAAAACAACATAGCCTTTAGCTTTTCCAAATTTGACCTCTCCTAGACAGCCCACGTTGAAAAGCAGCTCAACTTTCCTTATTTGATTTGACGGCTTCGGCTCTCTTAGTCAACATTTCCTCTCAATCAGAAAAAGGTTAGTACCAGATAACGGTGCCTAAACTTTTTTCTGACTCTTTTTTGTCACAGGTCGCAGCCTAATCCAATGTCATCAATCCCTTTGAAAATTTCCAGAAAATTCACCTATTGAAAAAAAAATCACAAGACAGTGGCTCTGGTGCCCTGCATCAATCCCCAGTCATGATGGCCATCCACTATACGTTCGATCTCGCGATGAAAGGCGATTTTTATTGACGGTGCAGATGAGCCCATTTCTCAGCAATTTTATGGGATCCGTCTCTCGTCGAGCCGTTAGTACGTATCCGAAGGTTGTCAGAAAAAACATGGTCTTGGACTCAATACACTTGAACTTGCCCCTCGCGGATGCAAGGAAAGCTAGCAAGCTGGACCAAGAATCCATTTTCCTTGGTGAGAATTCGAGTTGAGCTTCACACATCAACGAGTGGACTACAAGACAAGCCTACAGACAGCCGAACGAGCTAAGACACATGACGTGATCAGATCCCAGCAAATCTGATCAGATTTTGCAGCTGTGTCACATCGCGGTGTTACACCAAAAATCGTGGAGATGCATGAACTAATGGGGTCAGCGAGCTCATCCTCCTGTTGCTCAAAATCAATTCAAAACCCAAGGTGTTCACCGTAAAATGAATCTGCCTCGTAATGGGTTTCTTCCGACTGAGCTGTAATACACTCACTCCAGCAGTATTTCAACAGCTGGTACTTTATCTGTGCAACCAACGGCGATTGATTACCCTGACCAGTCCACGATATGGTGTCGATTTTTGTTGATTGTAGAGGTTTCAAAGAATTGGAGTGATTATTTTCCTGATTTCCTTCGAGAAGGCTAACTCGAAGAATAACGTCAATCTACGATTTGGCTGTTTTTCTTTCACAAAATGAAGCCATAAGGGATCGAACTCCGGTCAGGCAAACGAGAGATTTTAGGACATGGAAAGGAAAAGATAGTAAAGAGTAGTAGAGTAGCATTACTTCAGAAACATACGCTTGTAAGGGGATTACCGGTGACCTTCTCGATCTCGGGCTGCATGTCAAATGGATGTCGCAACCCAAAAGGATTGCTATTTGGCCATCCCATCAGTGTGCTTTCCCTGGGAAGCCATGGGAAAAAGGACGTCATTTCTCCGATCACCGACCCATCAAAACACCCCATCTTCCGGGTTGACGTGTACAGAAATCGAAAACAAATAAACGGCATTTTAGCCAACAAAGCCACGAAATAGCCGTTTGTTTTTCCGGGAGCCAATGCACCCAAGAGTTGTTTAGATACTGAAATCCAGTCTACCGCCCGTTCTTGCTTCAATCACTAAAACCACTACTTCTAGTAGTGAGATCGAGTACAGCTCTACGGCCTGTGTAAGACCTTTTTAATCGGCATAGCGTGGCTTTTAATGAGTTCGAGCAGAAGATGGACTGCTCATGAGTATTGGAATCTTTTTGGAGCCGGCTGCTCATGCAACCTTGCTTCAATTGTAGAAGTTGTATAGGATAAAAACGATTACCCTTTCCTGTGGTATACGAATTCCGACTACGTATGTAAAGCTTTTCAAAGAAGGGAAATTATGTTTCTCCCTTTAGCTCTTAAATAATCCCTTTGGTATTGCCTCGAGATCCCTATACTGAAATGAATCCTCCCACACCCCTCCCCTGATTTCTCTATCCTCTTGCCCTCATTTTCTCTGCCATTTCCCGTGCAACACCTTTCCCAATGTTCATTCTTTGGACGAACGGAACTACGCCAGCAAAAGTGACGATCAAACAGAACGTGCCTTGCAAAAGTTGCCAAGCCCACGACCACTGGTACGAGACCCAATCAGAGAACAGAAACTTCTCAGAAATTCAAAGCAAAGGAAATATGATTTTATAGCTTGAAACAAAAACATATTCGGGAAAGTACTTGCAATTATTTTGAAGAATTCCTGGCTATTTTACATTTAGTATGATGGCATTTCCAACAGATGGTCTGAAAATTCGAAAAAAAGCTCTGTAGCATCAACGCCAACAAATCGCGACTACTTGCCATCCTCTTTTCTGGCCAATTTTGCGACCGTATTTTTAAGAGAAGCTCACGGTTCATCTTTCAATTGGGATCAATTGAGCTAGGGAAATTCAATATTCTCATTGGTTCCAAGGCCATTAAGCTCCATAGGAGATGTACGACGGCAATATGTAGGAACATAACTCATGGAATACTCAGACAACCAGTAAATATAGCCTGTTAATTATAGTCAGATCTCAGTTGCAGCTTCAAACATAAATCACCTGATGCTGCAAAGCATAGCTTGCAAGTATGGATAAAAAAAATGGAGGTATTTAAAGAAGGGGCATTCATGAAAGCAGATTTACAAGCAGGCCAAACAGAACCCAAAAAACTCAAAAAGAAAAATGCCAGAGGGCGCATCGCTAACCTCGTGGAGATTTCTCGCAATTTGAATATGAACCAAGCTTTCAATTCTAAGCAAAAACTGAATGCTCCAGTGATGGCTCAAAGGAAAACCCTCCCGTAGTCTGGGATGATGGGAGTTCCTATTTGACGAAGATTGCAAGATAAGAAGGTTCCCTCTTGAAGGTGTCAAAAGTAGTTAATGTTGTTCAACTCTGATAAAATTTTTCATTTTTGACTAAAAAAAAATCTCGGATTCCACCCATATCTATCTGAGAAGAAATGGATGCAGAAAACAGAGTCTAGTCAGTGCTGTAGTGCTGCCAATTACTGATAATAACATCTTTGGTTAGTAAAAATAGTTCTTGTGAAACTGGAAAGCTACAATATCTCTTCGTTCATTGAAGAATCTGTTGGGAAGCGAAGTTTAGAAAGCACGTTTAGGCCTAGTCNTGAAGGTGTCAAAAGTAGTTAATGTTGTTCAACTCTGATAAAATTTTTCATTTTTGACTAAAAAAAAATCTCGGATTCCACCCATATCTATCTGAGAAGAAATGGATGCAGAAAACAGAGTCTAGTCAGTGCTGTAGTGCTGCCAATTACTGATAATAACATCTTTGGTTAGTAAAAATAGTTCTTGTGAAACTGGAAAGCTACAATATCTCTTCGTTCATTGAAGAATCTGTTGGGAAGCGAAGTTTAGAAAGCACGTTTAGGCCTAGTCCCCATAAATTATAGGCATTTTGCGGTTGTTACTGTTGTCACTGTTTGTCACTTATGCAAAAAAATAAAATAAAATATAGAGAGATTTGTTCCCATAAGAAATGAAGGACAAACTAGTAAAAGTTGTAATCATCAGTGGAATCGAAGTTTTGATTAGAAGGGAGTTCGAGGTGGATTCAAGACGATGCGGCACTCAACAGCTTGCCGAAGTTCAAACAAAGCGCGAGCCTAATTGGAATGAAGCCCACACGGTCCTGGCGGCTATGCTCATAAACAAGGTCCCTTTCGAAAAATTTGTTGTGCCCTCCACAGGGTCGAGCAAATCCCCCTCCCAGTCCCTACAGAAATTTCTCGCATGACTCAGAATCCACTCGTCTTTTGCTGGATCTTCTACTTGAAAACCTAGAGATGACGGCATTGCGTCGCCTCTCAATCCTATTTGTTCACGGGAAATATATCCGGTGGTGCGCGGAAGCGGAAATCTTGACTGTCCAGCAAGCGCTCAACCACTTCTTGCTGCCCGGGGAATTGGCACGTAGCGTAGCGAGCAATTCCGGACATTTTCATATTTAAGATTACTGTTAGATTACTGTACTTACAAAATGGCACCCACCTGTATCGCGGTCCATGGTTGTAGTGTGGCGAAGGACCCGCCCCACGTCGCTCCGCCGCTGTCGTTGTCGACGCGGTGGCGGTGACCTCTGGGAGCAGGTCACCGGTCGCGCGCGACAGCAGGCGGTGCCGCGCGTTTGTTTGCGTCCGCGCGCATCGCGTCGCAACCGGTCGTTGTCGCGGCGGCGTTTATAAGCCGCAAGGGCTCGGGCAGCTGAGTTGCAGTGCGTTGTTCTTGTCGTCGCCATCGTCGTCACCCGCGTCGTTGTCATCGTCAAAACTCATTATGTGCGGCATTTGGGCAGTGATCGGCGAGCAGCCGACGAGCACTCACCGAAGGCAATTCATGCGAATCGTGGGACGTGGCCCAGACTTGACAGTAATCCAAGAAGTTCAACCTGGCGTCCATTTTGGTTTCCATCGACTAGCCATTGTCATGGTGAGTACTTGAAGTTCAAGTGAATGTGTGCTCTTTCCGATGAGGAACTCTTTGGCCTTGACTTCACGTATGAGACCTATGGTAAAGAATGTATGTGCGTACATCTCTATTTACTCGAAACTCGTTTTCTGAGAGATGGCTCAGACATTTGACCGATGGGAACACCACGGGTTCATTTTGTGCAAAGTTTTTTATATTCCCATCAAATCATCGCAATACCTCATAAATCCAGCCGTCTACGAGCGCAGCTGCTCCAGATGTACTCGAATCTAAGCCGAAAAACTATTTTCCTGGCTATGTGGTGATGATTGGGTACAGATGAACTTCTGAAATAGGCATTCACTTACTCTATCTAACTAATTATCTTTTCACTGCCTCTAGTCTCTATTCAATCCATAACATCTGAATCCATCGGCTCTTTTTTAATAATTTCACTTAATTTCTTGTCTACAATGTTCCAATCTCAATGCAAAAAAAGAAAACATCACCTCTCTTTTACAACACACTGGTGAACTGGCACTCTTGACGGTTACCTGGAAAAGTCCAGTCGTTAAGCTGTCAGCCACAAATGTGGTAAAGAGATTGAAAATTTGGCAACTGGGGTCCTCGGAGGGATATTACTTCAGACAAAGATTCCGCTCAGAAACGATTTTCCGAAAGACTGCTTCCTAGAATACTTCATATGGAAGGAAGCAAAGAAAGGTAGAGCCGTCCCAGAATGCTATGAAGTTCACAGACTTGAAGTCTTCTTTAAAAAGCGTTACTCAGACAAGTTACTGCTTTTTCGACACCTAGTACCGTGATTTGTTAACAGTGCTAACACAGCACAGTTCTTAGGAAATCTTTTTTGATGCTCTGGCTCTTGGCTCTAGTGTGGAAAATCCTACCCTTCAGCTGGGTCTCTTTCTCTACAGATCATTGTTCCTTCACTAGAATATCTCGTTTTCATGCCATCTCTGATATTCGATTGCTTATAAAACTCTTCATATAAGCCTTCAAATTAGTTGTCACCCTTTCAATTCGAATCGAAATTTTCGAAAAAAAACAAAATTTTGAAATTTCAAAACTTCAATTGACGTGTGCTGCTCCGATAGGATAACATCGCATTCTAACTCAATACAACACCGAAGCCATAGACCATCATGGGGTCTTCGAGCTTCTTCTTCCATTTCCTATTTTTGTTTTTTAATTCCACTTTCGGAATTCTTTCCCATTAGTCATTTTTTGACAAACTCCCAGAAGGAGATAGAGCAAGCTTCTAGAAGATTCTGATTGTGCCTTCTCACCTTTGCCTTCCCTAAGATTGCCTCACAAAACATAACTATTTCTAAAATCGCACTTATTGTAGAATTTGTTGAGTACGATAATCATTTCCTCACTATTGATTGTGCAATTCATTCGAGGAAATGTCGAAGTGGAAATTGTAAGCTAAAGGACAGTTCTCCTGACCGCTCTGTTCCCATCAGCTGTAACTCATTAACTTTATAGGAGTCCTCTGAAGAGGAGGAAACTTTGAGAGTGTGCTGTTGTTCGAATAATCCTTTTTGAAATCATTTTCGGCTATTCTTCGAACTAGAGTACCGGATCCCTCCTTAGTATAACTCCCATGGCTAATGAATTCTGATGGACTTCACGAGGAATAAGAATTCTGCGAGGATCAGGCAGCAGTTGCCCGAAATGGCTAGAGCAGACCAGCCCTCTAAGTTCCATTAGTTGTGAAAGGATTTTGTCAGCTCTATTCTTGTGAGACATCTCCTTTCCGTCGAGAAATAGATAGTCCCTCGAGCACTATCGGACCTGCACCGAAAAAGGTTTCCCAATTCGCAAAAGATCCACTATTTCACTTAAGCGTGCAAGGTTGCAGGCCTGCAACACTGTGCCTATTGACAAACATCTGCAGCTCGCCTTCTCAGCGAATTAGCAGCGGGAACCACTGAAACTTCTTCACATTGCCCTTTAATATCTACCAATTAGTTCGTTTGATAGGCTTGATGGAGTTTGAAGTTTGAAGTGTTAGTAAAGTTTCATTACACTCGTTCCTGTGGTTAGAAGTGTCCGAAAATTGGTGTGTGGTCCAAAAAGCTCTCTTAAGGTATTTCGCATAAAACGGTACATATAGACCCGATGTTCCGATTGTATAAACCAAAGTAGCGATCAGAAGTTTTAATTTATTCCATGTTATTTTAGCCTGGCGATACTCCTAGTGAGCAACCGATCGTTGGCGAAGGTCTGGCAGTGGTATGCAATGGCGAAATCTACAATCACAAAGATATAAAGGTGACCTAATTTATGCCACTGATTCTACTCGTATGGGTTGATTTATGATGAAAAAGTGCTCTTCCATGTTTAAGAGGATAACTCCGATCAATTTAGGCAGAATCGAATGCCCAGGTGAAGAATGACGGCAGTGACTGTGCAGCAATCATCCATGCCTTCATCAATTCGGGTGATCATTGTCTCCTATTTTAGGATTGATATCACGTTAGAGAGAACTGCGCACATCAGCAAATTCCGTGTTCGATGGCAACTCGTCCCCACTTCCCAACTTTTTGACCTTATCTTGAACTTCGGGGCAGTAGAATCTTCTGGGAAGGAACCTCCCATCGCATACTGAACAACTTCGAATACGCTTTTAAGTGTCTTTGTTGACTCTGAAAGTAACTCGTTTTGGGTAACATCCATGGTAGAACCGAGTGACTCGTCCGCTACCTGCTTTGCCTTCGTTCAGTTCCTTTGCCCTTTCCCACATGATAGACAATGTGGGCTTATAAGTTGAGAACCCCTGAATATGTAATGTTGTCCTGGCTTTTTTGAGTTGTCCCGCTGTTTACGATTATAATTAGTTAGGTAGCGAAGTGCGGAAGATTATTTAGAATCAAATTCAAGCTTGACTCTTTTGCAGGCTACAATCTACGTGAAGCCTGTGCTAGCCTCGACGGTGTGTTTGCCTTCGTGATGGCCGATAAGAACAACATCTACATTGGGAGAGATCCCCTAGGCGTTCGACCACTTTTCTATGGATTTTCAGGATCCGGTAAGTTTTCTAGTCTGATCTTCCACGCGTCGTCCAACTAAACGGGACCTGCTTAGTGGACGACAGTTGGGACAGACTGATCAGCTGATTTTGTTGTCCTATCTCCAGCTTGTTTCCACCGAGTAAACACTATCGAGTAAACAACGATCCGGAGCTGCTGCTATGCTTGTGCTGCTGGTGCCGACTCATCTTGTCAAGCAGTCCAAGCCCCCATGTGCTGGCTGATTCACTCATTCACTAATAGTCTATCGCAGCCGGAAGCGTAATACGACGTTGACTGTCCGTGTGGTTGTTCTGAATGCAAATACAAAACACGTCTACCGCCGTCACGACGTTTTTCCCACGGCCACTAACAAATCAGCAAATCTCGTTTGCCTCTTCTTTTGAAGTCGCAGCGAGAGTGCTCTGAATCGTTGAAAATTCACAATGTTGGATTGTGCCTGGGAACTGACAACGAGGGTTTTTTGCTTTTTGTAGTGCTTGCAACGAAGGACTAAAAAATACGCGCGACAAGAGACAGATTGACTGTGATCGCAAGTAGAGATCTAGTGAAGTGAATGACGTAGCCCCCAAGAAACTGATTATAATGTGACCCGGCACCACCCCAACCTAGAATCAACAAAGAATATGGTGATTGCATAGTAATTGTCTGGAGCTAACAACTAATACCATTCAGGAGCACTAATTATCGGCTCAGAAGTGAAGTGCACGGAGCAGCTATGCGATCGACTCGACTATTTNTGATCGCAAGTAGAGATCTAATGAAGTGAATGACGTAGCCCCCAAGAAACTGATTATAATGTGACCCGGCACCACCCCAACCTAGAAACAACAAAGAAATTGGTGATTGAAAGGTAATTGTCTGGAACTAACAACTAATACCATTCAGGAGCACTAATTATTGGCTCAGAAGTGAAGTGCACGGAGCAGCTATGCGATCGACTCGACTATTTCCCACCTGGTTGCTGTGCTGTGGTGCCCATTCATGGGAGAACTAGGTAAGTAGTTGTCATCGTCCTTCAAGCTTGCCGCCCTCAATCTGTGATAGGGTGAGTCCAAATTGAGCTGCAGCAAGGCGTCCACCCAAAGTGGTCAAGATATGTCCAACCCTGGGCCCATTCGAAGAGTGACCGAGGTCTCCCTTAGACGTTCAGTCTTTTTCAAATGTGGAAGTGCGATTTTGACCGAGCATCCACTAGATGCTTACTTCCTTTGCAGACAAAAACATTCGACCATTCGAGCAATGTATATGTGAACTCGCTGTCGTTGATAGTAAATGTTCAGTCACCAACTCTAAGCCAATTCAATTGGTTGTCAAAGAAGCTTCCATGTCTCCTACACACTTGGTTGAAACGCCCACTCCTAGAGAAGAGATAAGTTACTCTAGCGCCATGAGCCGAGATAATTAGTAAGCAAACTGATGACATCCCTTTGTTAGGGTTTCATGAGCCGTTTTGCTCCGATACAGTCATTTTTCACTTAATCTTCCTTATTGACCCTGTGAAGGATTACGGTATCGCTATTCCCCAATGCCATCCCATGAATGGAAACAGAAAGTTTTATTATGGCTTGCCCCAATTACGAGCATCCTACGGTGTGGCGGCGATAGGTTTTCCCGGGGTCTACACTTCTTAAATTGCCTCGATCCATTACGTCATGCAGTAGACGTCAAAAGTATTCCGATGAACTTTTTCAGATCGATTGCAGCCCAGCATTACTACTCTGTGCCTTGCATCGCTGATCGATTCCTCAGTATTTCAAACGCTCAAGTGAGTTATCGAGCTCTGGGAATATTCCATTCATATAACTTCCTTAGAAAGTTAGAAAGCAAGTACGTAAGAATTTAGACGCTCATAAGAGATGTGCTCGTGAAATCTGTCGAAAAACGTCTTATGGGTGACCGCCAATTTGGTTTCATGCTCTCTGGTGGACTCGATTCCTCGCTGATCGCTTCTATTGCCACAAGGTTTCTAGTTAAGGTAAATACTGTGGTTTCATGAGGAAGGACATACTTACAGAGTGAAGATGATGCAGTGACAAGAAAAACCGCCTATAAGGTCATACCCCTTTATAGTAGAGTCTGCTTCAAAGTAGCCTAGTTTCCACATAAACCATCGTCTAGGAGGATAAAAGCACTGACTTGTACATCGGCTGGCCACCGCAAGTTATTGTGTAGACCACACAAGCATTCAATACGCCATACGATCCTGAGTGGAAGTCGAGTGAGGTGATGCATCCCACAGACGGGTTTGATAAATTGGCCGAAAGAATTTATACATTTTATAAAATTATAAGTCGCAGCCACAAATCCCCTAAACTCTCCAAAACCCTCTTTTCTCCTTCATGGTGTTTTCAGCGAATATTTTATCTTTTTTAAGAAGCCTATCGCGTTTTCCGTCGGTTTCGAAGACTCGCCGGATCTTGAAAATGCCAGAACGGTAGCCGAGTATCTGAATATTCCTCACAAAGTGCTAGTGATTACGCCTGAGGATTGTCTTCGAGTCGTACCTGGTAGGTTTAGCTCATTCATTACTTCATTCAAGGCCGATTGCCGTTTTTCCTCAGAAGTGATCTACACCCTGGAGACATTCGATCCGCTTATCGTCCGTTGTGGGATCGCCCACTATCTTCTTTGCCAGCACATCGCGAAAACATCTGATGTCAAGGTACTTCTATCAGGTGAGTAGTTTTCAAGACGATGAAAGTAGGAGGGTTATCTCTGCGAGCACTAAATATTGCTAGTGAATGTTACCAGATAAATTTTTCTGAGGGGACGTAGTAGGAAGAAGGATAAGAAAAGACTTTGACCATCCTCTCTTTGATTATAACAGTTTCCTAGGTAGGCAATCTCTAATCTGATCTCTCTTACTGCAAAGTTGCACGCTTGAACATTCCATCGCTCCTATTCTTCGTGACCATCGGAAAAAATTGCCGCTTAGGGAGCGACCTTGGGGCTTGGGTGACTATCTTCATGAAAATCATGGTCTGGGAGATAGAGAAGGAAAAAATTGTCTCGCGGAGTACTTGCATTGGTCGAAATCAAAAGACTGGGACTCGCGGAACCACAAGAACCGTCAAAACATGTGGGGAGCGATTCCCTATTCATACTTTTTTCTACTCGTGGAGCATCAATAGTGCTAAATCGGTAGACTGACCGAACACTGTTCTTTATCGTTAAATCCGATTCTCACGAACCTTGGTCCTAGGTGGACATGACTCATTCCCCATTAACTCTGCAAGCGTTTCGTGACGGGTTCATCAAACTGAATAGATTCCACCAGTTTTTGAGGATCACCTCAACGTAATGCATACCACGCCGCCACAGCTCTATTTTCCTTTCGCTTTTCTTGCAGTTGCAAATCTGAGACCAGCTCAGCAAATAGAATGGCAGACACAGCGGCAACGGCTGCACGGCGTACTTTGGTATTCGTTAAAGAAAATGAGGCATTTGAGTTACTCGTTCACTCATTTATAAAGGGGGGGGGGGGAG